TTCTACAAGTAAAAAATAAATTAACTAAAATTAGAAATTCCACAGGTAGTTTGACAGTAGATTGAAAACAAATGTAGAAAGAACTAGTGAACTAGAACAGCACTTCACCACCTTTAATGTATACACAAAACCCCTGGAGATGCAGACGACGCCTGAACAGGGCCAGGGTAGGGCCTGAGAATCTGCATTCCTAGCAGCCTCACAGGTGACACTATCGCTGCTGCCCAGGGGCCACGCAGGGCTGCTGCTGCTGCTGTTGGCCTGAGGATGATTATGAAGACCAGGAAACTAGAAAACAGGTGAAGAGAAAATATCCAGACAGATGCAAGGAGAACAAAACCACAAAATACTGAAAAGCATATATCAGATAATGCGAAGCATAAAATACCTCACACGAAAACTGAAATCACAGAAAGATGAGGTAGAATAAAGTAAAGAGATTATCTGAAGAATGAATGCCTGAGGTTTCCAAACTTCACAGAGTGAAAAAGCACTAAGAATCCCAAGCAGGATGAATACAAAGAAAAGCCCTCCCAGCAGGAGGCTAGGTAGAGCCAGGATCATTCCCTACAGATCTGCTTTTGTCTAATGGAGTAAATAAATTCCAGTGAAAACCCAGGAAGGACCCACAAAACTCTACAGAAAACTGTTGCAGAAAACAAACAAACCCCAACCTAAAAAAGCCCACTGTGAGCGTAGACTGAAAGACACAGTACAAAATTAACAGGGGCTGATGAACTCTTAACATACTAGAGGTAAGGTCAGGCTGAGAAAATTGCTCAGATGTAAAACCATGTGTATCTTTCAGGAAAAGCAGAAGATGATTCAACAAAGCAGAACAAAAATCAAATTCATAGTCCCAGGGACATGTAGGGTGTATACCCTGGGGTTAAGAAGGCAATAAAGGAATTTGGGGCATAACTTAAGAATTCTGTGTACCACGGTAGGTAATTCCATCAGATACTAAAGAAGAAACAATACCAATTCTATTACAAACTCTTCCAGGACAATGTTGAGGAAGGAATATTTCCCAATTCATTCTATGAGACAAGTATTACTCTGATACCAAAATTAAGAAGACATTTTAGGAAAACTATAGATCTCTCACAAACAAAGAGATAAAATGTATCTCTCATCAGCAAAGTATTATCAAAGCAACAGATATACTGTTTCAATAGTAATATGTAAAGTTTATTCCAGAAATGCAAGTTTGATTTAACATTTGAAAATCATTCAATGTAACTGATTGTATTAACAGACTTGGAAAAAATATCCAACCATATCATTATTTCAGTGGATGAAGAGAAAGCCTGTGACAAAATTTAATTCCATTCTATGTTCATGATCAATACACACTCCCAAACTGTGAAACTATGAAATAGAAAGGAATTTTCATATTTATAAAACTATAGCTAACTTTTACACTAAAAGGTGAACTTCTGAAAACTCTTCCCTTGAGTTGGTAAAAAGACAAAGATGCTCAATTAACAGTGTATGGGAAGTTTTAGCCAGCGCTATAATGCATGAAAAGGAAACAGAAGTTATGAGGACTGGCAAGGGGAAAAGACTGTAACTCTCAGGTGTCATAACTGTGTACATGGAAAATCTAAAAGAAAACTACAGAAAGAAGAGCTACTAGAATTAATAAGTGAATTATGTAAAAACAAGTATATTTACACAATCACATTTCTAAGTAGTGGCAATGAAAAAATGAAAATCAACCATTTTAATTGTATCAAAGGGAACACATGTGTAGGAATACATTTAGTATATAATATGCAAAGCCTTGTAAATAGAAAATAAAATGTTCTTGATCAAAGTTAGAGAAGATGAAAATAGACAGAAAATTTCATATTATTACAAAGTCAATTACCCCCCTCCCCAAATAATCTACAGGATCAATATGACCTTAAAAGAAATTCTAGCACAATTTTTGGTGAAACTTGACAAATAAAGAAAAACAGAGGAGCAGGAATATTTAGGACAATTTTCAAGAAAAAACACAGTTGAAATACTTATAGCGCCCATATCAAGACTTATTATAAAACTACGGTAATTGATCATGTATAACCGCTCAGCAGAAGGAGCAGCAGACCAAAGAACAGAACGGAGTCAGAGCCAGACCCACACTGTACAGACACCTCACTGGTGCTAAAGGAACCTGTAAAAAATGAGACTTTTAGTAAAGGGCACGGACTCAAATGGGTATTTTCATGGGGAAAAAAACCCCAAAGAACTTTGAACTTATCCCCACCCCAAGTACACCTCATACTTAAAAATAAGTTGTAATTGATTTTAGATCTAAAGGTAAAAGGCAAAAATGGTAAAATTTCTATAACAGTGTATTTATGGGTGTCTTCATACTGGTGTGGAAAAGGCAAATATTCCTTAAACAGGACACAAAAAGTCCTAACACAAAAAGGAAAATAGTAGCAAGTTCTATTACAGTAAAATTAGAAATGTTTGTTCTTCAAAAGACACCATGAAAAGAATGAAAAGGCAGGTTATTGAATGGAAGATATTTAAATTACTACAACCTACCAAGAATTTGTATCTAAAATACTTCAATACTTTATTTTTAAATATAAAGCAGGGGGTGGGAAAAATTAAACTCGTAAGCTAACAGACAATTGGGCAAAACATTTGAACAGGTACTTCATGAGAAAGGATATCCAAATTGCCACTATACACATAAAAGGTGCTCAATATCATTAGTTAAAACAGAATATATTATAGTTTGAATAGAATTATATTGCATCCCCCTCAGAATGGCTACCACTAGAGACATAACAATGTCAAGTGCTGGCAAGGATATAAAGCTTTTGGCATTTTTATACCTTGCTGTTGGGGTTGTAAATTTAATCAACTGTTTGGAAAGACTATGTGGCCATATCTAGTAAAGCAGATCAATTTCATTGTGTACAGTGTAGCAACTGCGCTCCTAGCTAACCACCCGGTGGAAAGGTTTACACATGACTGGGACAAAGGTAAAAACACGAATGTTGACAGCTGTATTCATTGCAATATTAACATGGGATGCTGCAAATACCCAACTCCCCTTTAACAACTGGATGGATACACTGATATACACATGCTATAGAACACTATGCAGCAATGAAAATGAAAGAACTGCAGCTACCTTTAAGGCAGACAGTTTACCCATATAATGTTAAACAAAACCAAACCATACAAAGCAAACTTCCAATACTTAAACATTAGAACATAGATATGTCCTTCTTCCATTTATATCAAGTTTAAAAACAAGCAAAACTTGTATAGTGTTAGAATGAGGGCCAGTAGTTTCCTTTGGGGAATAGGAGAGGGTCAATGGAGGTCATGACAGGGACCTCTGGCACTGGCAATATTCTATTTCTTCATCTGACTGGTAGTTCACGGAGGTAATCACTTTATGAAAATGCTCTGCCATATATGTTTTTATAAAGTATATTATAATGGAAAACGCTTTTTTGTGAAAGAAGTAGAGTTTTAAAAGAGAATGTCTCCAACTATGAAAACAGTAAATACATTCGTAGTTGGCAGGAACTGGAGGTGTGAAGAACAGATGAGGACAAAAGGGTAAGGAGAAGTTACAGGTGGCTGACAGAACTGTTCTCTATCCTGACTGTGTACAGCAGGTTACACTACTTCATGCATTTGCCAAAATTCACGGACCTGCATCCCCCAAAGAGTCCATTTTGCTGTATGAAAGCTGTATCTCAATAATATATACTTTGGATATAAAAGAGGATGAATTAATTTGAGTTCTTTTTATGTTTGTGAAAATTTAATTATCTGTGGTGTTATAATCTGTTTTTCTCATTGATTCAGTTAGGAAGAAAATTAAATGGTCTATCTTCAAAGTATCTTCTAAATCGTATATTGCTAGAAACTTATACAATTAAAATAATTTTGTTTTTTTTCGTAAAACAAAGAATGCTATTCGCTTTGGCTTTATGATATTCCCTTTTGATTTTGGGAAAAACAGACTTGAAAAATACCTATTACAGTGTATGTTGTGTTTAATAGGCACATATGGCATAATGGAAAAAAAAAAAACCAGCAAGCCCTGAGTTATTCGTTTTCATATTTATTCATGAAAAATTTGAGAAAGTTAATGATGGGGGTGCCTGTGTGTATATATACATATATTATTATTATTATTATTTTATTTATTAGAAACAACAGAAAATTTTCAGTTAGAAAATTCTGTCTCCTCTTAAGGTTTATTTTATCTGTTCCCACATTTACCTAATGAATCTAGAAACTAAGATACTGGTTTTGAGACCGTTACTTTCTGGGGCATGCTGGACAACAGTTGACTTTTATTGGATCTCAAACTTACATTAATTTTGAGCCATCTTATTCTAATATATCTATGAGTATGAAAGGATAAAATTAAATGGAGGCTCATTGTGAAAGCAACACACACCTGAACAAAAATCAGACAGGTAGGAAGATATATAACATCAAATCTATCCCATAGAGAAGTAAGTCGGAAAACCATAAGACCTCCAACAAGTAACACATTCTTTTAGAAGTAGGGTAAATATAAAGCTCATTTACTCACAAATATTTAAATGTTGCCATATTTTAAAATATCTTTTACACACTGGTAAATATTGGACATTAGTTAAAAATTTTGGTCAGGTATAGGGGCTCACACCTGTAATTCCAACACTTTTGGAGGCCTAGGTGGGAGGATTGCTTGAGGCCAAGAGTTTAACACTAGCCTGGCCAACACAGCAAGACCTTGTCTCTACTAAAAAAAAAAAAAAAAAATCTTTCTCAAAGTCATCTAAATCTCATTCTTCAAAGGAAGAAAACAGTGGTTATATTTTAGTTACCTACAGCGATTTAACTCATCCTGACCCCAACCTGGAAATCTCCCAGTATTTGGTAACTTAAGGGGTTATACCACAAGTTGCGGGAAGGTAGGTAGTACAGCTGCATTTCTGTAGCTATTGGCAAAAAAACAATACCTTACAAGGAAAATGCCTTACCACTTGTGCTGGAACTTGTTCTATTTTTGCAGCAGGAGTTCCTGGTCTTGGGTAAAACTGGTTAATAAAGAGGCTTGGGAATTTGTATTCTTCAACAAGTTTCACTGTTTCTTGAAAATCCTGATCTGTTTCTCCAGGAAAACCACAGATAATATCTGTAGCAATAGTTATTCCAGGAACTCTAGAAAATAAGGAGACAAAAATGTATAAAGTTGACTACAAGCCATAATTATTCTATTTCCCTGACATTTTTAATATCTTTTTTTTTTTTTTTTTGGTAATTAGAATTTATTTTTAGGAAAGTTGCAAATAGTTTAAAAGAACCCTAAACACTAAAAGTTAAAATGAGAAACAGTGGCCCCTTGCTATTCCTAGAAACATCCATTATTAATTCTTTTAAATGTTTCTTTGTTCTTTCTTCCACATTTAAAAATAGATGCTTATTCTGCTACTTCTAGATTTATTGATTTTTAGGCTATAGTTACTGACTTCTCTATTATGGTAAGTGAGACTTTAGTTCTTAAACTGCTCTATCTCTACCCTCCCCCCAAATAATCACTGAACAACTTCCAGCTAAATTAATAACATACTACTTCCATTGGTACAATGGCAAATATAATGCTCACTGCAGAGTCAACTGGCACACCGAAATTAAGTTTGGTTTTTCTACAACGTTTAATTTTTCCTGGAGTTAACAATTACCTCTTTTTAAAGTTTTTGCTTAATTCTATGTACCTATATTAATGTTTTCCAGAAGCTACATCAGATTTATCAAAAACTGATACTATTTTCTAAATAGTCAATCTATTATGTAATTCACTAGTCACTTTTTCCCTAGAAATGCTACTCTTTTCTCCAAGTATTTATTGCTTTTACAAGGAACTGGCTGCCATCTTTGAATGGCGCTTTGATATAAGGTTCCCCCATTCAGGGCTGGCCAGGGACCCCATTTTCTAGGCCTGGATGAGCTCAGAAATTAGTCTCATCACCTCCCCCCATCTCTAAGCACAAATGGGCCCTTTCCAAGCCAAGCCCCCCAGGCTAAAACAAAGTCACAAAAAAAGCAGCCTGACTGCTGTCTCATCCGGCAGGTTCCTCCTGGGGTAGGGAGCACACACCCTACTGTCTCATCTGGGGCAAGGACCACATTCCTTCCCTAATTTTAGGATTATTTTCTGTCTACAGGTCCCTGGCCAATTGAGACATGTCTCGGACATATATTCTCCAACCTCCCTGCAGACAGGATAGCAAAAGCTGCATATAAACCCCTAGACAGGAGGCCCAGCTAGGCTTCCCACGTGCGTTCCCCACTCCAACAATGGAGGTTCTGTTCCCCCCTCCTCCGCTTATCTGTCTCTTTTATGTTTCAGTACACTCTGTCCTTCTGCTTACTGGCATGGTCAATGGTTTCATTCTTTGAACCCTGACATCAAGAACCCACCACAGACAGAAATTCCAGCTACAGCTCCTTGGTATCTTTCTCCCAACTCCCTTTTTTTCCTGGATCCTGTCTTCTTGAGTAACTCCCTCGTTCTCCCGGAGTGTGCTTTCAGAAGAGTACCAGGGACATTTTGTTGTTGTCGTCTCAGCAGGTCTGAACATGTTTTAGCCCTCACAGCTGATAGTAAGGTCGTGCATAGCACTTCAAGTTGAAAATATTACCCATCAGGATTTTGCACTGCTCTTTTTTTTTTTTTAAGGGAAAAATTGTGAAAGGATGTCCAGATTCATATGGATATACATTTCTTTACATGAGCACACATGACTCTATTTTTGAAAGGTTTTAGGATATTTACTTCATTCTCAGTGTTTTAAAATTTAAGGTCAGTTTGCTTTGGATTGGGGTCTTTATTCTTTTTTTTTTTGACAGAGTCTCACTATGTCACCCTTGGTAGAGTGCCATGGCATTGCAGCTCATAGCAACCTCAAACTCTTGGGCTCAAGAGATTCTCTTGCCTCAGCCTCCATTGTAGCTGGTTCTATAGGCGCCTGTCACAATGCCTGGCTATTAGCTCTTGTTGTTGTTTAGCAGGCCTGGGCTGGGTTCGAACCCACCAGCCCTGGTGCATGTGGCTGGTGTTCTAACTGCTGAATTATAGCACCGAGTCAAGATTGGGGGTCTTTAAATCTTTTTACAAGGTACAATTTGGAGACTTATGGTCTTTAGATCTAGGAAATCTTCTTAAATAATTTCTTATATAATTTTCCTCTGTCAGAGATTCCTCTCCTTTGAAAGTTGAAACTACCGGATTTACCTTCTAAGCCTTTTTCTCTTATTTTCCTTCTTTGTCTTTTTATTTTCTAGTAAATGTACTTGAGTGTATCTTCCAACTCTTCTATTGAAAACAATTTAATTCAACATTATAGTTTAAATTTCTCAGAACTCTTATTCTTTCTCCAATCCTCCTTTTTATAGAATCTAGTTTTTGTTTTAGAGATGCTACAACTGTTCTTGACATCTGGGGATATCAATTAAAGTTTCTGCAACTTTTCTTCTGCTCCCTGCTGTTGTCAATTTTGGACCCTCTCATCCATGGTTGAGATTTTCCACCAAGCAGTACTAATTCTTGCTGTCCTTTCATACTTAAAAAGAAAGCACTACATGCTTTTATCATAGATGTGATTAAGCAGCAAGCAGCCTTGTTTTTGGTAGACCCAAGTTAAATTTGGAATTCTGGAAATCATTTTTCTGTGGTCAGTTTCTCCCCAAAGTGCGCTACAACATCCTATTGTATTTTAAGAGTAGAACAATAAAAGAACATTCACAATATTAAAAAAAATTTCAGGGGCAGTGCCTGTGGCTCAAAGGTATAGGGCGCCGGCCCCATATGCCAGAGGTGGTGGGTTCAAACCCAGCCCTGGCCAAAAACTGCAAAAAAAAAAATTTTTTTTTCAGTATTACTATGAATGCATGAGAAACAAGGAAAATGCTCCAAATACTTCAAATCATTAAATAAATACCTACATCAATATTCCCATCACCTAAATGCAGTTCTATATGGACAAATAAAACATTTCACTTAATTAAGATATGTGAGATATTTTGGGGCTTAAGAGAGAACAAGAGATGTACCAATGAGCAAATTTAAATAATTGGATTCCTAATAGAAACAGCTTCATAAAGCACAAGCTTTCCATACTTCGCATACATACTACTAAATTTAATGCCTGTGTGAAAGAAGTACGACACATTTATTTTAGAAATATTTTATTCCTGATTTCTACCTATTCTCATCTAGTTATTAATTTGGCTGAACTTCATTTATTAAGATAAACTCCAAGGCCTGGGACATTTTCTCTGTGATAATAAATAAAAGAAGAGACAAAATAAAACAGTATATTTGCTAAAAAATTATAAGTTTTTTCTTCTGTAAGGGTAATTCTCACAATTATATCTGTAAAGTCATAAACGCCATATGCTTTTATAGTAATCTATAGATAAGAAGACCATTTTTCTAGACTAAAGCCCGTGAAACAAAAATTATGTGAATTATTTTCAATTAGCTAGTTTTATACTTGCTTCTTAACTACTCCTGATCAAGAGAAATCCACAACTAAAAATAAAAGTAATCGATCACAGCAAATAATGACAGAGAAAAGCCAATCTGTCCTAGGAAATTAAAAAAATAAATCTTAGAAACAAAACTACCTGCAAAATACTGCAGAAACACAAGTTATTGTCCCACGCTATATACTGGAATGAATTTGGCACTAGATGAGGGGGTATTCCCAAAGGAAAGTACCTTACTGATCTTCCTTCCCATCCTTCTTGATCCATGATGGTTGAGCTCAGTTTTATGTAACACCTGCTTACTTTGGCCTTAAGGTCCACAGTGAAAAAGAAAAGACTTTTTAAAAAGCCATAATAAATGTTCAGGGAGGAGATGTTCAATGCATGGGTATATTTGATAATGTACTAAGACGCTGACTGATAAGGAGGCAGGCCACTATGAGTTAGTGACTTATACTAGTCAATAAAAGTAAAGGGCGGCGCCTGTAGCTCAGTGGGTAAGGCACTAGCCCCATATACCAAGGGTGGTGGGTTTGAACACAACCCTGGCCAGCAAAAAACAGCAGTGACAACTGCAACAAAATAGCCGGGCGTTGTGGTGGGCACCTATAGTCCCAGCTACTTGGGAGGCTAAGGCAAGAGAACCGCTTAAGCCCAAGAGTTGGAGGTTGCTGTGAGCTGTGACGCCATAGCACTCTACCAACGGGCGACAAAGTGAGACTCTGTCTCAGAAAAGAAAATAGTTAAAAGTAAAAGTAGGTCAGTAGGTTTCAAAGTATATAAGAATATAAACTGATTGCTTACAAAATATTTTAAAGTAGAGATCCCACTTAATGTTAGATGAGGCTCATCTATACATTAATTTTACACATGCAAATGATGCTACTTACATTCTAGAAAATAATTTGGCTCTTTAGGTGAACCAACTGAAATCTCATTTGAGCTGTTAATTTGCCTAGCAAATAATTCTCTTCAGTATACGAGAAAATCAAAGAAGTCAAATTCTAAATTGATAGCATATGATTTAAATGGCTAAGAGTAAATTATAATAAAGGGTGCAAAACAGAATATTAATCCAAATATTTCAGATGCTAATTCTGAGTAAATGCTGTTTTTGAGATACCATAAATTTTCAAAATACTATTTTTTTTAATGATCATTTCCACAAATTTATTGAAGCTGTGAGTGTAATGTATATAATTACTAGGTAATATGTGCTCTTAAATGTTAAAAATTTTCTCTATTTGTGTCTCTCTACTAGTTTTAGAAAATAATTCTGAAAGAAAGATAAAAATGACAATGTTCAGTTAGCTTAAATAACAGGGAGATTTTGACTCATTATTTTCTCCTGTTTTATAGTATTTACTGGCAAGTGGCTTTATTAACTCACTTAGGAATGGAATTAGAAAGATTCCAATGACACATCTGACCTTGTCAGAAGCAGTGATACGATCCATTATGAAGATCTAACAGGGACATGTAAAGACCATACAAACTATTTGCTGGCCTTAGGCTAGGATTTAAGAAAGCTATAAATATTTTAAAAGTTAATTATTTTACCACGAGTAAAAATACACGCATCCTACACATTGAACATTTAAAATATTACTTAAAATGTGCTTTAATTCATCTCAAGATTTTCACTGGGAAAAATATGAACAAAGATGATT